TCCTATGTGTTATGTATTCCTTTTAATTTATATGTAGATGCGTCTTCCCGTGCATAAAAGGGCGTATAAGACCATCGGTGCTACTACAAAAAAATATACAATAACAGTACACAGTCACAATCAAACTAAAAAAGCAGATTTCTATCAACAAAATCGGCTAACAACAAATAAAGATTCAAGAAGCAAACAATTTTCCAAATAAAAAACAATTTCTATTCAATCCTATTATCTTACAAGCACTTCAGGAAAAAACAAAGGAAATTACAAAGCTATTCAAGTACCCAAGAATATGTTTAATGGCATGTGAACACGTAAGTAGAGACGGTATTCCAGAGACTGTGAACCTTTATGTATTAACGCGCCATTTTACTATAAGAAACTGTTTATTTAGATCATGCATCTATAGTTTTCACTTCAACAAGTTGAAGTCAAACTAAATGATTATTATTCTTTCACGCAAAAACGGCTGGACTGATTCAGTTAAAACTAGGCCCGCGACTCCATTCGCGTGCAATAGTGACTTTCTGCGCATTTTCGGTATAAAAATATCCTATATCCTTTCTCGAGTTCCGAACTATGTTTGTACCGAATTTCACAGAAATCGGTTCAGTAGTTTAGGCGTGAAGAAAAGACAGACAGAGTTACTTTCGCATTTATAATATTTTGGATTAAGTATGAAGACAGATTGAACCCTGGATTAATACATAAGTTGCTTTTTATCGATATACAACCCCAGCAAAACCGCAGCCGGAAGCTAGTTAAATATTTAAAAAAGTGTCGAGTCTGTCGATCTGTCCTCTAATGAAGCTATTTCCAAAGTGTAAATCCCTATGGAGAACAACGATCAAGAAACTCCACTTTTTTCACTCAGCTGCACAATTCAATGAGTTTAATAGTTTTTTAATAGTAACATTATTAAGCTACTTAATTTCTTAATAGTAAAAAGCTGATTACGACTTATCTGTAACATACATATTATAAAACTGAAGAGTAATTGTTTATTTGAACGTGCTAATCTCTTAAACTGATATTTCAAATTGGATGACTACTTTTGTGTAGGATAATCCAATTCATCGACTGCACGGTAGACGCGATGGCTGGGCAACCGGCTGCCGTGGTTCAATTCTCGCACGGAACAACTACATAAGTTCTTGGTGTGATGTATATGCGAAATTGTATGTTTGTGTAGACACAGAACAAAATCGTAATGTGTGACAATGTTAAAAAAAAGTATCGAGGGAGGGCATGAGCTATATAACATCACGCTAAGACCAATAGGAGTCAACCACCAGAGTAACTTAAGTATCCTACTTAATATTATAAATGCGAAAGTTACGATGTTTGGGCGTTTGTTACTGAATCACGCCAAAATGGCTGGACGGATCTGGATGAAATTTGGCACAGGCATAGGATACACTCCAGAGGAGGTCATAGGCTACTTTTTATCAACATACTGCCCGGGCGAAGCCGCGTGTGGAAGCTAGTTACTAAATAAATAAACTAATGAGTAATTTCGGCTTGGTTTGCGTTACCATCAATGATACGCGTGCCAATGGTTCGCTATCCCTACTGTTGTCTACACCCGCATACCTTTACCTACGTACACAGTTTTAGCCGTCTTTTTAGAGATTATTCCTTTGTTTTAACGCGTTTAAGTAGGTAATACTTAAAGCTGTATCATGACTAGAATATTGCAAGTTGAGTTTTAATTAGAAGTTCAGAGGTGGCTTATCGATAATGCCAAATACATTTGCAAGTTTTATATTCATATATTTTAATGTAGCTCACTGAAAACGCCTTATATTTAACGTATGAAATAAAAACTCCACATAATTTTACTTCATAAACTTAAACTTTTACGACTGGATAGTCAGTTGTAGGTGGCGATTATATGCTGTCTTTAAAAAACAAATCTGTGAACGAATAATGTACCTTCGTTTTCTGTCCCGTTTCCCCTAGTGGGGGCTGAAGGCAGTCAGAAGTCTTCCCCACCACGTTCAGTTGCAGGCTGCTCGCCTACCCTAACTCCAGGTAAGAAGTTATCATACACGACCAATATAGAAATGGTTGCGGCTTCAGAGCTTTCTCTAAAACTATTTAACCACGACTATTTGGGCTTTTAACCTTAAGTAAGTAACTCTATAACTCGCAACTTCACGCTTATCTGGGTTTAAAGTGGCTAGCACGTAAATTTATTAAAATCTGACAATTGTTTCATTGGTTTTTCTACTTCGTATTAAAATAAAAAAGTTTAAAATCTAATGAAGAACTTATAATATAGGTGTAGGTGGTCCTTTTAGACACTGGACTGACCTAATAATACATCTACTAACTCATTAATTACTAGGAAGTGGCCTTGACTTCACACTGACCCCACTTTCTTGGTTTTGTTTAAAACAACCTTGTTCTGACCATCAATTAACATCTTCGCGTGTTCTATCTTTCAAACAAATTAAAAATGTGTAGCTTGTTATTTGTTATCTACTAATTGATTTCTACATTGATACTAACAAAATGACATAAACATGGAACTTCGTGGCGTCGCATCGCAAAAGAGGTGGTGGCGCAAAACTCGATCGACACATGACGACGACCATGCACGACAAAGAAGAACTAACATAATAATAAGCTTTAAGTATGTTTTCAAGTAATATCATATACATTATCGTCATCCGGAAGATTTCTAACAGCCAGGGTTGCGAGGTAAGCGCAATACGGTAGTTTCCAACTAGTCAAATTCAATACTTTTATCCAAACGTCAAAAACGATAGTTTTCTATTTAATTTGTATGAAAATCTGAGTTACGACGTCAAAACACTTTTGCGTCAAACAGCTTACTTATTTCTTAATAATTAGCTATAAAAAATCAAATCTAAAACTTAGTGTATCGATCGATCGATGCATAAAAGTATAGTTATTTTTCGATATTTTATTGTATTGAAACGTCGAATTAATTTATTTTTGACCTAGGAAACTACCCAATAATATACCGCTGCCTCAGCATTGAGCAGGAGAAGGGACGGGGTGGTTTATAGTTAATAAGAGTCTGACAAAAGAAAAGACTTGCACTGAATAAGGACCACCCTGTTTGTCCTAAAATAGATGGATATCAATTAATTAGACTTGTGTTAATTAGAATATTTTTTTTAATATTTTCATCGATGTATGCACGAATATTCTGACAATTTGTGCTTTATTTTCTTGATTAACTGTAATGATATTAGCAATATTTATCTTTATCCTTGTTGTATATAAATGCTATACCCTTAATAACTAACAAAAGGTCTTTTAAAACAACATAACCCATTGAGAAATTAAGTTTTAACAGTTTTTTTATTGTTGATTACACAATTTGTAATACACCTTGAAAATTAAAATTTCATCATCTTATACTACATAGGATCCTCAACAAAGAGGAAGAAGAATCAGAATGTGCTAGAATCCTCCTGATAATTGGTACACTGTGTAATAGGTACTATATTCCCCATTTTACCCTCTTTGAGAATCATAAATAGTTTCCTGTGACTTTGATGAGTTATTTAACGAGTAATTCAGTTAAGTTCTTGCGTTTCCGAGATATGAGTCGGCCCTATTTGTAATTCGTCGTAGACCGGTGGCACGGCGCCAGCCCCCCTATCTTGCAGATATTAAATAGCAGCCACTTATCTAAGCGCCCGCTCACCGCACAGACTCCAAATCAGCACTATCTCAACTATTTGGTATTCAATTTAATTTTGTTCCGAGATAATTCTAAATTGAATAGCGCTTTACGTGTGCGAAATCTTACACACCAGCCTCAGTGTTTCAACAAATTTAGGAATCAATTTACGTCAGCGCAAAAAATGGCGTCCGGTTTTTGAGATAATGCTCCGTTTGAGTTCCACCGATTCATAACTCGCACAAAAAGATCAACGTAGGTACAACTTCCCGGCAAATCCGCCAATATAAAACAATTGAAAGTCGCACTGGCGAGCTCAGTCGGATAGAGAAAAGTTCACACAGATTGGCTGAAACGTAGGCCACGTTGAATTTATTTAATTTTTATCTCGGCATAATTCGAATTTGAGAGCAGAGCATTTAATTTTCATAGCTTAGCGAAATCCCATTTCGGTGAAACCCGATTAGTGTGTAAGCGGCCGTGGCCTATTTGTTATCTTGCTGAGAAAAACCATTTGAACATTTCTCGGGACAGGCGAACAACAGACGAGCGGAGGACGAGGGAGACACAGACAGGGAACTGGTGTGAGTTAATCATGAAAGCCGAACGCTAATCGCTTCGCATTCACCGGCCTGCCTTCATTTTTTTATGTTGTTTGCCGTCGGGATAAATGTATGACAACTCAGAGATATGTTTGAAGTACATTTATCTCCGTTTTCTTTGTTTAACTAGGGACTCCTTGTGTTCGCTTCGTGTTAGAAAAAGAATATTCTGTTCAACAAGAAAGTTTAGTATTTGTACGAGCAAAGCAAAATGTGTTGTGTATTTAAATAAAAGTATTTGAACTAGGTTCTCATTTCTAGGAATCGTTATTATTTATTTGTGTAGAATGTTTACGAACATTCATACGGATTCCTAAAGTTTTTAGCTGTATTCAAAGAGCATAACTCTGTTACGCGACGCCAGAAATTCATGAGTATATCTGCGATTGAATAAAGTGGGTCAGTCGAGCAAATTGAAATAAAAGCCGTAACTTTTGTGACCATGCTGTAAATACAAGTCTGTTGAGCGCTTCATCCGTGCACTGAAACTTTAGGGAACATTTTAATGACAGGTCTAGTTCAGTAATTAATTATACTGAGTGAGTTCATGTTGAATGGCTGGGCTATTAATTTCATACAAATTCTGTTCCACGTTGGACGGCATTCGTTAATTAGGTTTCTCTGTGGTGACAGGTGGTTTTGGTTCTAATAGGCAGAATGTTGGTAGTTACTCGTATAATCGAATGATTCACTGTGGCGTAAATACGTTTGGGTAACTAATCTGTATATTATTTGCGCAGTGCCAGAATTGGGTGGATTAGCGCGTCGCCCCGGCTGCTCCAGCGCATTCTCCGCACCGTCTTCGGCTTCTCATCATGAACAAGGTAAGCATTTATTTAGGCTGAAACTTCCTTATGTAGGTATAGAAATTACCTTGAACTATCTAAGAATTGACTAAGTGATGGTGGTATTTTATTTATCTTCCAGAATTTATCAACGAACTATACGTATAAATTAAGTCATAACATATTATAAAAAAATACCGACCTTATCTAAAGAATGTCTTGAAATATGAATGGTCTCACAACATACGTTAAATATTATAAATTCCTCAAACAATTACGAAAATACATGAAAAGTATGGACGTTAGTCATACATTTGAGTCGTAATATCAATAAATTAATCGATATGACAAATTTTATGATCTATAGACGAGGTCCCATTTCGTATTTGTCTACGAGGCTAATTTATAGCCTGCTTGGACAAATATTTCTCAAGATAGTTTGGAAGAAAATCGCTTAATGTTCTGTACTTTGGTATAATAATATTTTTACTGCATCAGTTTTAGTCTTTAGCATTTAAAGATCATTATCATCATCAGCCATATACTTGATAGCTGATCAAAGGAATTCTCTCTACCCGATGAAATGAGCATTAATTACCACACTAGTTGAAAAAACAATTTTCTGAACACTTCCTGCCAAGTGTGTAAGCAAATAAAGCAAAATACAACTTTCATATCTATACTAATATTATAAAGACGTAAAATTTGTAAGTTCGTATTTATTTATTTATTTATTTAAAAATGTAGGGAGTAATCCTTGGAACCGCTGGTCGGATTGCCAAAATTCATTTATACAGGTTACAAAATCTCACGCTACGATCAAATGGAGCCGAGCAGCGGGTGAAACCGCGCGAGAATAGCTAGTGTCTTATAAAAGCTATTTACTCAAAGTTTATATGAAATAGATACCAACTAAGTACAAAGATTGAAATGTCAGACGATTGGAAAGTACTCTTAATAATATTTAATGACGTTGTAGAATTGATATCGTTAACGATATTTATCGAGAGCCAATTATGATGAAAATTAAATTTAAAGAAAATAAAATGAAATAAGTAAGTGGATACTTTCAGTCAGAGAGAAAATCAATGTTATTTTCTTGATAGTTCTTTTTTCAAATTCGCGCTATCAGTAGTTGTGTAATGGTATATGTGTTTATGTATTTACTAACTTGAGCCCGCAGTTTCCCCTTCGTGGTATGTTGATAAAAAGCCTACGTGTTAATTCACGGTATCTATAAAGAAAATTTACTACATAACAAACATACATCCATATGATATCACAAACTTTCACATTTTATTATATTAGTAGGATAGGACAATAAATTAAATCTCCCAGTTATTCCGAAACTGACGTCATTGACCTCATTAGTCACCGAAATCCGAAATAATTTACAAGAAACAATAACCCTTGTTTAACCAGTGACTTATAAACCCTTGTAACAAAACATCCTAATCTCTTAAACATTTGTAAACGCTTTAAAATACAGCGATTCGCATCAATCGTTTAAAAACAAAACGCGCTTATCCAAACATTGAAACAAAAGCGGGCTAATGACGTCATCGCGAACGCTTGCTCGCTGCTCGCAAGTCAAACAAAATGCAATAATCCCGCAAGTAAGCTACGTAACAAATGTTCCCCTAATTAAATGGACTACCATCCATTAAAATGTACGTGGATGACGTCATGAGGTAACCTAGCGGGGAAGTAGCGTGGCTAACTTGTCCATATCTCACAAGTAAAGCTGCTACTACACTTGGCAGTAATTGAGCAATATTTCTTATTGCGCAATGTTTGATCACAAGTTTATTTGGTTTGATTGCTCAATTATTTCTTCTTCTTGCATGGTTATGGTCAACATTATGTAATGGTTTAGTTTTTTAGATTGCTTATTAGCTGTTGCGTTTCAAATGTTTTAAAAGTTGGAAAGATGTGCGACACGAAAAAGCCGGCACAAACGGAGTACTATTTACAGAAACCTGGCATGAAAAATCACTACTTAAGTTCGTCAAGTGAGTGAGATTGCCGGAGACTCAATCCTCATAAATCTCTTTTATCATCTAAACCTAACCTAACATTAGGTTACCGCATAATATTTCTGAATAAAATTTTAACAAGCTAAAGGAAAAGTAAAACGAAGGGGCAGGTGAGGAAACGTAGACTTAAAATGTTTAAGAAGTAGTCAATAAATCCACTTTCAATAGGCAAGGAGATTAATATTCTAACCTTTTCTATGTGATGAAGAGGCATTTGCTAAGCAGTAGGCACTTATAGGCTGATGATGATGATGACGATGATGATGTGGGGTATACAAGTACCGTGAAAAACCCGCGTTAGACCCTTTAGTATCAAAATGAAACTATGATGTTATAAGTGTGTAAGTAGCCTAACCCGTCGTTCCCAAGTTCTTTCGCTACCGACACTCGGTTAAGTAATTAATTCTTTTGCAGTTCTGTTTGAATAAATGACTTAGTAGCCGACTCTGAACTTTATGCGACGACTTTTCAACGAACTACTTTAAATTATTTTATAGTTCTTTGCTCGATTTAATACATTATTGTTTTGTTCGAAAGTTTATATAAAACTTTTGACATTGTTTACAATACTAGCGACTGTTGTGTATTTAATTGGATGCTAATTGAGGACTTTATTGAGAAACTAAGGTGGATAATAAAGTTTTTTCTTCTTTCATTTCTTTGTCTAGATTTCTCTATAAATTTGCAATATATAATTCTCTCCTCATTTGATCGGAATCCATAATTCACAAACTCAATTTTGTAAACAATACTTATGAAATGAGCTTCGAAATTATAACCTGTAATGGAGTGTCTATGGTCGTGGCCTGGAGGTCAGGGCGTCCGCTTCTTATGCAACCCTCTTGCAGGTTCGAAACCTGGTAAGTATCTATCAATGTGACTTTTTCTAAGTTAGATGCACTTTCCATAATTATTTAGACACCACTGACAAACGGTGAAGGAAAAAACATCGTGAGGAAACCTGAACTTTTTCTAATCATAAGTTTAAAATCGCTCAAACCTTCTCCGTGTGAGAAGGGTTTTTAGTCAGTAAGAGTCTGACACTCCCTCCCGCCCGACCCTAGGCGGGAGAAGTCATTTGACTCACCAAAAAAAACCGTTTCTACAATCAACTTAAGCTTTCAAACAATGAAACTAAAATACTCGAATCCGGTAACTACTCGCCTGAGTTCATAAAGAGTTAATTGACTTTATAAGTTCCTTCTCAAAGAGTTCTAATCTCAAAGAAAAAATACGAAGCATGTAATGTAGATAGCAACGAGCTCGAGACATACCATCAAATCTATCCATTAAAGAGAAAACCAAAACAAACAGTTCAAAGGCAGACTCTTTTAGATTTCATACACTTTTAGGAGATATTAGGGACTAGATACAAGCAATATCCATCAAGAAAATAAAATAATAACAGACGGGACCGAGGGTGGCGCCACACTACACGAAATCTCCGCGCTAGTTTAGTTCCAGTGTCGGGCTGAGCTCCTATTTGCAATAAACACGTCCCGTGTGGTTCCACAACCAGGAACAACTTTCACAGACTTGTTTGCACTTTGAAATGTTAAAACTGGAACGTTAGTTCGTAAACGGGTTGAATTTCTTTGGTCTCTCGTGAACTCTGAATTAGCTACAGAGATCTTTAAGGAATGAGTTCTCTCACTTAACTGCGCAAACAAATATTATTGTTGAGTGAAGAAAATGTTGAGTATAAAACTGGTTGTCTTTCTGGTCTGTTATTTTATATACGTAATGTAATGAATGCTTTTTTGATAAGTCTCTTAGTACATTTTTATTTATATTTCGTGTTTTATGAAAATAAAATTAGAAAAGTAAGTAATTAAAAAACGACACGAAACTGTTAAACGACATATTAAGCTGATCTAGAAATCGTCGTAATTCGAGACAAATCGTAATAGAGTGATTGAAGAGGATGGATTTAATGTATAACTAGCGGTAGAGTATACAAACTTACAAATTTTATCTCTTTATAATATTAGTATAGATATATTTAGATAAAACCAATAGTGCAGAAATTTAGTACCTATTAGCATTTCACCCGTGCGAAGCGGAGGTGGATGGCTAGTTATTAATAAATTCAAAGATATTTTTTCCAATAAGCGTAACCAAGGCGGATAACAAACTCAATATTTAAAAAGAGTAATATAAACTGGTACTGGAAATTCATCTATCGTCTAAGCAATGATTTCAGCAGTTAAACAACTGAATAGCTCGAGTATACATGGCGGTGTTTTGTCTAAAAATAAAACGAAGTGAGAACGAGACCCGAATAAAAATGTGTCTACGTCCAGGAGAGGAATTTAAAAATTTAAATTATTATAAAGGCAATATTCTGTTACGCGACCAGAATTTATATTTAACCGCTAAACTCGCGACGAAGTATTACGAAGAGTTGGCGTACTCTTCGTAATACTTCGTCGCGTAAATTAGAACTGACTTAAACTACTTAAAATTCTTTTATCGACTAATTTTATCAACAAAACAAACAACAAATTAATTAATAATGAAAGCGGCTAATGTTACGCTTTAATGACTTTACCAAATTTCTCGGTAAAACTCTTCCATTCTATTGACGTAAACAATTTACTGTATCAATAATTCTGAGAAACGAGCTAATGCCAGCGGGCTTATTATAAGCCGCGTTTTGCTACGCATTATATCGGTTAAAGGATTTTTATCTATTTTCGCATAATCCCGACGTTTTAGAAGATTTTATTCAGCTTTCCTCAGTTATCTTGTAGAAATACATCCGTGGAGCAATTTAAAAATGTAAAGGTGAGCAAATTGAGGAAATGTAAAACGTGTGGAATTGCGTTTACCGCTTTGACGGCGCGACTCGCGACGACGGTGCGAATGTTGAAAAGTCAATTCATTTCCAAGAACACGTTTAGAGCTAACATTGTCAGTTTCCCAATGTTATTTTTCACTAAAAATGTTATTTGTAGTCGGATAACACGCTTTACACTGTTTCCGCGCCATTGCGAGGCGTTC